AGCCTTCATAGGGCACATTTCTGTCTAATCCTGAATCCGGGGCCACGTCCTGGACCGGAGAGCGGGAGGGGGTATTTTGGGAAACGGTGAATGTCCGGCCAGCCTCATCAGTTTCCCGGTAAGAGAAGCTGAGGGCTCCGGTCCAGGAAGAGCTGGAGGTCAACAGCTGCCACTGGGAGGTTGGTGACTCAGGAACAAAACACAGAGCTTCCCAAAACCTCCTGTTTTCTTCCTGAGCAACCAAGGTGTCCCCGTCCGCCCCGATTCCAGGCCATCTCTCCTTTACTCTGCACTTTTTAAGGGTTCGCTCATCCCATTGTGTGCTTTTCTTGCAGGTTGTGGGGAGCTGATCTCGGTTGGGGATCCGGTCACCCACAGAAAAACCGACAACATCGCGGGTAAATACGGCGTGTGGCTGCAGGACCCCGAGGCCGCCCCCCCGTACGGGCCCGGCATGATCTGGCGCATCGACACCATCGGCACAGATGTCCGGCAGATGTTCGGCTACGACGACATGGAGCAGCTCTCCAAGGGCTTCCCGTCCAAGGTGGGTGCATCGGACAGTGGAAAGAGAGAAAGAAAATTCACCCGGCCTGACCCCCTGACCCCCCCCTCTCCAGGTGCTGCTGCTGCCGGACCCCCTGGAGAGCACGGGGGCCACCCTGTACCGGGGCTCGCTCTACTACCAGCGGCGGCTGAGCCGCTCCCTGATTCGCTACGACCTGGCGGCGGAGCACGTGGCGGCCCGCCGGGAGCTGCCCCACGCCGGCTTCCACGGCCAGTTCCCCTACTCCTGGGGCGGCTACACGGACATCGACCTGTCGGCGGACGAGAAGGGCCTGTGGGCCGTCTACTCCACCAGCAAGGCGCAGGGGAACATCGTCATCTCCCGGCTGGACCCGCGCAGCCTGGAGGTCACGCGCAGCTGGGAGACCAGCGTGCGGAAGGCCTCGGTGGCCAACTCCTTCATGGTCTGCGGGAGGCTGTACACCGTGGCCAGCTACGCCGCCCCGGACACCGCCGTCAACTACGTGTACGACACGGAGACCGGCCGGGGCAGGGCCGTGTCCATCCCCTTCAAGAACAAGTACGGCTACAACAGCATGCTCGACTACAACCTGGCCCAGAGGAGGCTCTTCTCCTGGGACAACTTCCACCTGGTGTCCTACGAGCTCCGGCTGCAGGCCCAGTGAGAGAGAACAAAAAAAAACAGAGACATTTGAGTGCCCCCAGCAGGTCTGCTCGTTTCCTTTCCTTTTGTAGAGTAAATATTTTTGTACTGCCTTTATCCAAATGTATGATTTTGTTGTTTTCATGTGGAGTCGTGCATACACATACACATAAACATGTAAAGGGTTGAAATAAGAAGCATTGTGATATTTCCCAAGATGGACAAATCAGCCCAGAAACTGGTGTCACACTTCCCGCAGCGATTACCAAAAGTGCTTTATCATTTTTACATGTATGGAGTATTGCATGTTTTTGCACAGTGTAGCCAACATTTTTGACTGTGTCCAAAATAAAAAAATAAACTGGTCAAGTCCACCCGTGTCCGTGACTCTCTGTGTAGTCCGACTGGTGCGTCCACCTCAGCATCTCTGGACTCTCAGCAGAGGATTCGGAGCCCCGAGGGAAGTGAGTGCACCTTTAATCTCTTGAATGAATACCCGTGGATAGTGTCAGGTTGGTTTTTTAATAGCAGTGTGGTCCTCAGTCTGTGTAACGGATCTATACTTCTTTCAGATGTTTACACTCGCTTATTTACTTGAATTATTTTGTTAGAAAGACATTCTGAGAGGTGTCTTGCAATCTATGTTTGCAACAATAGGAACTACACAACCAGGCCTTCACCAAGACTCAAATCAGCTCCTAAGACATAAAACTATCAGCCCTTAAAAACCAGGACACATGAGAACTGAAATGACTGTTTTGAAATATCTAAATATGCAGAATGTGTTAAAGAAATTAACTACTAATATAAACGGCGTGTCAATATTCCCAGATCAGCCTTAGGATTGCCATTTTATTAGTGAGTGGGTCCATCTTGTGTCATTGAAACTGTTAAGTTGGAGGCCAGGAAAGCACCCAGCTCTTTTGTTCTTTGAGCCCTGAAAAGCACATCTTCAAATGATGCTGTCCCTTTAAAACGAGCTGTATGCAACTTTATTTCTATGTTAAAGCTCCATTTTATAACTAGATGAGCGAAGCACATTTACCCGTCGGCTTCTGTCATGAGGAGTTCAGGTTCAGTTTACTGACTGGTTCAGCAGTCTGCCGGTGACCCCTGCTGGGGGGATGTGACCCACGGCCTGACCGTCAAAGCGCAGCGCCAAACACTGAAAAGCACATCAACAGTATATTATTTTATTTTATTAGTTTCTGTAACCAAACCAAGAGAATGTAAATAAGACCTTACATATTTTAATACAGCGATGAAACCCCTGTACAACAAAAAAAAAAAAAAAAAAAAAAAAAAAAAAAATTACTCCCCCCACCCCCCCTCCCTCTTCCATCCTCCCAATGAAAAGACTCCTCCCCCCAGTCGGGCCAGATGTGAGGGGAGTCCCTCACAACCTCAGGGTACATACTTCTGTACACTTCTGAAGGACCCTCATCATCTGGAACCCTAAATGAGAACACTGGGCAGGACAGCCAGCGGAGGCGAGGCAGACAGAGAACGGCTCCCATTGCTCTCACCAGTAAAAACAACTCAACCCCAAGTGTCCTTCCGCCTAAACTCTTGAGGATTCTCATTTACTTTTTGCTTGTGTCTTCTTTTTTCTTTGCTCTCCGTCCTGTGCCCACTTGCCGTGAAGGTTTTTTTCTACTGTTCCAGTCGACTCCTCTCCCTCCACCGACAGCCCTAATCCTGGTGTACGCTAGCTAAGGGCACTGAATCAGTCAATAGCAGCAGGTCTGGGTGCTTTATACAGCGACGCGAGAGTGTACGCTTTTGTTTGTGTGTCCACGAGGATGGCTGTGAAAGCGGCGTGGGGGCGTGCGGCGCCCGATACTGGAGCGGCTGGAGGAGGCATCCTACGTCGACCCATGCAAGTCCACTCAAAACCTGCTGCCGGCGCGACAGCGTGCTAAAAGGCTCCGGCGTCGTCTCTGGCTACTTTAAACCTTTGGCTAAATAATCAGGAGTGCAGCTACTAGCCCCCCCCCCCCCCCCCCCCCCCCCCCCCCCCATTCCCACCCACCCATTAGAAATCACAAGCACACGCCTGACACACTCGCACCCCAACACGCCGGCAATTCTCAGGCAAGGAGACGAGAGCAGAAGGCAGGAGCGGAGGCTTGCAGGCAGACAGAAATCAAGAGATCTTTAGTTAATCGAATGCTGCAGGTTTCACATTTCCATCGCGGTCGAGCAAAAACAGAGTGATGAGAGTTTCTGATTTCCTGACGCAGATCAAGCCATCGAGCGGCGCACAAACCTCCTGATTACCTCTGACGGGAGACTGGGCAACAGAAAGTGTGCTTGTCTAAATTACATCAAGGGAAGGGAAAAAAAAAGGAAAACGAACAACAAAAAAACGTCTCGTTCTTTTGTTAACAAAAACAGGTTTGTCCTATATTGTGGGATGCTATCGGAAGGGGGGAAGGGAAGGGGGGGGGGGGGGAGAGAAGGGACAAAATGAGCTATAAAAATGGCAAACTCAGCAGCAAATTTCAATTTTTTTTTCTTCTTCAACTGTCCTCAAATGTACCATCGGCATAGATTTAGATGGAACGGACTCAGTGGCTGCGTCTAAATGTAATGGAAGAATCCAACTGGAAAACCCCCAGTGGGACCCTTGTGGGACAAGACGAGGGGAGGAAGGTGAGAAGAGGATTACGCTTGTTCACGACAGAGCCTACGGCCTGGAACCACCACCATCGGAAGCTCTACCCAACTCATCCTCCCTCTCGCTGTCCAGCAGGGATGATATGAGGCTGCGGCTGAGTGAATGGGGGTGGATTCGCTTCTCCTCCTTCATCCATCCCTTCATTCTCTGTGCCATCCGATCGGGGTCGTGGGCTCTTTACTTGCCCTCTTCCTGCTTGATGGCCTGTGGCTTTATGGGGCCAGTCCGAATGGGCTTGGCCGCGGACACTGGGGCTTTGTCAGTGTCTGGCCGCTCGCCGCCCGCCTGGTGGTTGGAGGCGGGGGAGTCGAGGGGAGGCTTCCCTCCCTGATCCAGTCTAGAGGCTTTGCTGACTTGAGGGGCTTTTAGTTGCTGCTGCTGCTGCTGTTGCTGCTGCTCCGAGAAGAACTTATGAGTAGACTGGAGCACTTCGGCACGCTGCTTAGCCTTTATGTGGGAAATGACAAAGAATTTGCGAATGACTGTGGACTAAATCAATATGATTAATCAAGAATAGGAAGAATGAGCAGATGGAAGAAAAAGGAGCCCACCTTGAGGTCCTGCTCGGCCTTCAGAGACGCCTGCGTACCTCTGGGCACCAGAGAGGGACCAGCGGGTCCCCGGCTGGGGTGCTGACTGTGCTGTGGGTGCTGGGGACGGGGGTGGGGCATGAGGCCGCCCCCCACATTAGCCGAGATGGGAGGGCCCATGGGAGAACGCTGAACACCTCCGGCAAAGGAATTGGCGTGAGGGGGGCGAACCAGGGGGGAGACGATGCTGGGCTGGGAGAGAATCTGGATGCGGGGGAGCAAAGGACGGACAATTAATGAGTCGGCCCTTCCTGTGGGTCTTGAATACCCACAAAAAAATTGGCTGAATTAGCGCTGCGGCAGACTTATCACACACACAACCTGTGGATTGAACTGGCCGGGGAAATGCGGGGTCATTCTCATGCCGGCAGAGCTGGGCTGAAACTGCTTCTGGTAGAGCATGCTGTTCATCTTACTGGACTGGCTGCTCGGAGAGGTGGAGCTGGCCCTGCGTGGGGAGGAGGAGGAGGACCATTGGAACGAGTTGCAAGAGTCCAAACAACAGTACAAAAGATTCATTAAAAAAATAAATAAATAAAAATAAGAAATCTCTTTTATTCGATCCTGTGGTCGGTAGTAGTGCGTTTCAATTCAGTAATACTTTAGAGGGAGAACTGAAACCAGTCAAGGTCTATACCATATCACAAATGAATGGTTTTCCTAGGGGCCATCTTGCTTCTTTTGCCCCATTTGACTGCCGCAAATTTCTTTGAATGGTACTTATGTTGCAGTTTGTGTAAAGAAAAAGATGGAAGATATGGGACGGGATGTTGGTGCAAAATGCTGAGCCATGCTGCGCTGGGTAACGGATGCACATCCCCACCTGTAGGGGCTGGAGGTGGGTGTAGTGCTCCTGGCACCGACAGGAGGGGTCCCGGGCTTGACATCCATCCCACTACCAAAGAGCTTCAGGTCCATGTCCATCTGCAACGGGCCAGAAAGAGTGGGTAAAAACATCTGAAAAACAAAATAAATGAAGAATAAAAGAAAAGGAAAAGTACATACATATAAAATAAATATATCACAGAGACAACGGGACCCAGTACCTTGCTAGTGGGAGGCTGCATCATGTTGTGATTGTGGCCCATCATGCCCCGGTACGGCTGAGAGACCGGGGGCTGCCGGTTGATGTTGGGGGGCTGGGCTTGAGGAGGAGTGGGAGGCAGAGCCAGGAGCGGTTGGCCTCCGCCAGAGCCGAAGTTCGGCAGGGACAGCTGGGAACCAGGCAGAGGGACGGTCACCTGCAGACGAATGAAGAGACAACTCTCTAGGTTTTGGAAAACTGCGCAGCTTCGGCTTCACGTCAGTGGAACTGTTCTCCGTCCATGTGCGTTACCTGCTGCATGGCAGAGCTGGGGGACTGAGTGTTGCTGTAGTAGCTACTCTGACCGTGCTGCTGTACCTGCCCAGAGTACATGTTAGAATGCTGATTCATCCCCTGTCGAGCCTGAGAAAGAGACACAAAAAATCTCATATGGAACGCATGCATACGTGACAGAAATAAAACGTAGCTGCTGGTACAACCCCCAGGTAAAACGGTTCCCTTGTGGGGGGTCTAGTTACCTGCAGCATGTGAGTATCAATGAGCTGAGAGCCTCCCATCCCAGAGGGCTGGTTGAGCTGCGGCTCAAACAGGATGGGAATGTGCTGGGTGGAGGAGGGCTGCTGATAAGCCAGACTGGACTGGGGCTTCCCCAGCTCGGGGGCCTGCACGCCAGGATAGCTGTGCAGCGACGGTCCCGACAGCATCATGGACGGCTGCGACAAGCTGCTTTGCATGAAGGCCTGCTGAGACCTGAGGAGAGAGGGGATATGAGTGACGCTTCCCCGCCGGCATCAGCGGGAGAGCCCGCCAGTGATGCCTCTACCTGTACGGCTGGAGCGAGGAGCTGAACAGGTCCTGTGGCTGTGACACCGGAGGACCGGTGCCGAGGCCCAGCTGCGCCTGGTGCGTGTGCTGGTGCGTGTGCTGGTGCTGGTGCTGCGGCTGCCCCTGCAGCGGAGCGTAGATGGGTATGGGAATCTGCTGCACCGCCGTAGGCTGGGGGGGGGAAGAGGAACACAGAGGGATTTGACGCCGCGTGTCGAACATTTGTACGGCGGGCCTCTGAGGCAGCGGGATCCTACCTGCGACAGGCCGGGCTGGAAGCCCTGCGGCTGTCCCAGGGAGGGAGGAGCCAGGCGAGGGTGGGGCGCGCTGAAGAGGTGGCTGGTGTCCATGTAGAACGCTGGAATCTGAGCTGCAGAACCTACAAATCAACATGTGTTGGCGCCAACCGCTCGAAGGCAGATGAATCATTTCAATTACCAGCTTGGCATTTGCACCATGTGCTCTCTGACCTGCTGCAGACTGGGAGACGTACACCTGTGGGGTTTGCTGCTGCTGGGGCAGGAGGGGGGGCACACAGCCGAGCTGGGAGAAGCTACTGCTGCTGCTGGCGGAGGAGGACGACAGGCTCCCACCTTGCAACTGCTGAGGCTTCACCTTACAGATATTAGGGGGATCAGAGGCTGAGGTGGTCTTAGTGCTGAGGGACGATGTTGTATAGGTACCAGATCCTACAGGGTCAAAATAAGGGAAGAAATATAATCAATGTCACAGCCGATTCCTGTTCAGTGTGGGTAAATGAAAAAATAAATGTTTTAAATGTTTCCATTTGCTTGAAGGCAGAGTTGAGTTACCCGACAGCGAGGTGCTTGGGGTCACAGAAGCCACAGGGATCTGAGGCATGGAGGCAGAGGAGAAGGAGGAGTATGAAGAAGCACAGGAGGTGATGGGGGATGAGGAGGAAGTGACCGGGGAATTCTTCTCCAGACTCGGCGAGTTCTCCCAAGCTTTGCGGGCCGATTCCATCTGAGGAGGGGATAAAAGAAAGAAGAAAAGCAGTCAGTGACTGGTCGGCGCTGACATTGATGCTCGGATTGGTCGGTGTGTCGTCTCACCTTTAGTGTTAGGTCAACGGTAGCAGGCGAGACTGTGCTGAGGCTGGAGCTCTGCTGTAGGGTCTCTCTGCGTGGAAGCGGCAGCGAGTGTGGTAGCGCCACCTTTGAGACAGACAAAAAAATATAGATACATTTACTCTTACTTCAAAACGGGGATTCGTCACGATTGGCCGGACTGATGACAAGACTTACATTGGCCACTAAACTCTCTTCCATTTTGTTCCCTCCTGTGGGAACACTGTCGGCCAGAGAGGACGAGGGGGTCGTGTAGTCAGTCACAGACTCCTGAGAGCAAAAAGCCTAAATCAGCACACGTACGATTCAACATCTGCAATAAAACTCAGATACTATTTTAAAAATAAATGTAGTAGGCATACCTTAGAATTGCTATTATAATCTGCTGAGGGCACTGTGATCATGCCCTCTATGTCTCCTCCTAGTTCAGGTACTGTGGTGTCGGTGGTAGGAGGACTGGAGTCGGTGGCTCTGTTTGCTCCACCTCCAGGCACTCCTGCCTCCATCCCCTCACCCTCTGCACCACGAGCATCTTTGGCCTTGCGGTTTTTCAGAGAGCGCTCTTTACCAATGGGACCGGGTTTGTACTCCTTGGTCTCCACTGGTTCCATTTCAGGGAGCTGCAGGAGATAAGGGAAATGGTGAGCCTCGAGTCCATTCAATTCTGAATTCTGAAGCTGCTGCATGAGAGAAGATCGCTTTCAAACTCTACCTTCTGTGTTTTGATTGGGCCAGCTCGAGGTTGTTTTTGTCTCTGTTCTTTGGGTGCGGGTAGCTTGTTTTCAGAGCCAGATTCGAGTAATGTGGGCCCTCCATCGCTGTCAGTGCTGCCTGCAGATGACGGTGCTCCAAACTGAATAGTGTCTATTCCCAATTCTACAGAGCCTTCAGCTCCAGACTTAACACCCTATAATAGACATGACGAGGAAACATAAGCATCCAACAATCAAAAAAGGAAAAAAAGAAAGTTTAAAAAAAAAAGATGTTATAAGCTTACCTCAGAGGAGACTGTACCAGTAAAGGAAGTTAGAGGTTTGTTCCAAGCACTCACAGAAGGTGGCTGGGGAGGGCTGATGGGACCAACTGGAAGACGAAAAATAACATGCTTTCATTAGAAATTTTGCTATAAATTCAAATCTGCCCCATAAAACTTGTCATAATTTGACGAGTGTGAACTTTTTCTCCACTCACGCTTCTTGACATCGGGGAGAACAGTGGATCCTGCTACTTTGTTCTCCCACAGCTCTGTACCCAGAGTGCTGTGTGTCTGAGGGGCAGCAGGGGGCAGACTCTTTGCAGTGAAGTCCACAGCAGCAGGGGGGATGGAGGGTAACGGGGCCGCCCCCCCTTCCAGAGTTTGAGGAGACGCAGCCGGCTGGGAGGGAGCCAGGTGAGAATGCGGGGCGGCGGAGCTGGGGGGCTGCTGCGGCGCAGCGGGGGCTGAGCCTCCGGGAGGCTGGGACTGTGGCGGCAGCTGTTGTTGTTGTTGCTGTTGCTGCTGTTGTTGTTGTTGTTGTTGCTGCTGTTGTTGTTGTTGTTGTTGCTGTTGTTGTTGTTGCTGTGATGGCTGTTTTTTGGCAAATCTCGGTGGCAGCTTTCCTCCGCTCCCTCTGCTCTTTTCGCCAGAGTTCTTTTTACTCCAATTCTGTAGGAGAAAAAAAGCTTCAGTGATTTATCGCAGCAGGACGGTCATGCCTGACTCAAACGACGTGGCTTTAGGGGTCCGCTTCGCTACCTGAGTCGTCTGCTCTTCCTTTTTCCGCTTCTCTTCGTCCTGCAACCGTTTCTGTTGCTTGCGGGACACCACCTCTGTGAAGCCGTCATCGTTGGCGCTGGACTGTGGGTCCTCCAGGGTGGTCACCTCTGGGTGGTCATCAATAATCACAACGCCTGCGGTAGCAAGACATGTGTCAGACAATGATCCGAAAAAATTAAGAACAATCTTCTTGGTCATTAGTTGGAGAATTTTTTTTTTTAATGTATTTAAAAGTTTATACTCACTGGCATAGTTGTTGAGATCAAACTGAGAAAGGGCGTTCTCTTTGGGCTTCTTGGTGACCTGCTTGGCTTCATCTTTACGGCGATTAGACTGGTCCTTTGTGGACCTCTGGGTGGATCCACCAGCTGCTGTTGCTGCTCCCTCAGAGTTTTGCTGACCTGCGGGACTGTTAAAAAAAAAAAAAAAAAAAGTCTAAGACCACAAAACCTCTTAACGTTGGAGGTGAACATGACTTTGCAGGACATCAATATTTTTTTTAGGCATTTGCAAGAGAAAAACTGTTGTATTCCAACATGACAGAGAAACCTATAAGCAAGTATGTGCAGTTCAAAAGATAAAGTAACCCCACCCTAAGATTGCTGATCTATATCTCAGTATCAAGTCAACTGAAATGTACAGTGTTCATACCATTTGGTGGCACTCTTAAAAACTACACAAAAGATATACAGTGTGTAAATACAGTTACAATGGTCTGACGCTCACTGCTCATGGAGTCTAATGTGCTAATATGAAGAAAAAAAAACAACGCAAAAGCCAGATTGTTTCAAACTCACCCTTTGCGGGTGCCTTTAGCCCCTCCTCTCCTCTCTCCCTTGCCCCCTGTGTAGCTTCGGCCTGGTTTTGCTCCACTGTTGCCTCTGCGATTCTGTCTCTCTATGGGCCTCTGACTGGAGAAGCTCCTCTTGGCTGCTTGAGATCCTTCGCGTTTTGGGGTCACCCCCCCCTCGGGTGGGCTTTTACTGGGCGTTAAAGTGCCCTGTGGAGTTGCAGGTCCTGGGGCAGAGGCCGTGGCTGCTTCATTAGCAGCATCCAGTGCTCCTTTCCTCTCCTCTCGCTCTCTCCTTTCATTGAAATCACTGCTCTCAGAGGCGGTTTCCCATTCCTCATTGGCCTGATCTGAAGAGTTCTGATTGGACAGGTCGGGCGACTTGGTACCCACTGCTGTGACGGTGGGACTGCTGGTCTCGGGTAGGGATGCTTCTGAGCCAGCAGGCTGGTCGGGGGCAGGTAGAGCAGCTGCTACTTCTGCAGGCACAGTTAGGGGAGTTCCAGGGGCTCTGGACATGGTGGGGGAGTGGGTGAGTGGAACAGAGGCTGAACTGGGGACAGCTGCAGCAGGCACAGAGGGCAAAGAAACGGAGGGACATGGGGCTGTCTCTCCACCAGCCATCACAGCGGCTTCACGCTCTTTCAAACGCCTAAAGCGAGGGGGTTTGTCTTGCCTCGGAGGCCGTGCTGGTCTTGATCGACGAGGCCTTTCTCTGCTGCTCTGAGGGGCCCCTTCTCCAAACTTCTTGCCCTCGGATTTAGGGGCTCTTCGGTCCATGGAAGGATTGTCGTATCGCGCCGTGGCCTCTGCATCCTCAGGTCTAAATGTCTCCATTGGCTTAGAGGGCCACTGAGAGGAAGAGTCTCTTCCAGGTTGCCTTCTGAGAGGGCCTGAACGAGGGCCTCCCCGGTCCCTTGTCCCCCCTCGTCTGCTGTACAACCCTCCTCTTCCTCGGCGAGAGGGCTCCCCTTTCGGGAGAAACCCTGGCTTGGGCCGGCTTTCGTCATCCCCTCTCAGCCCAACCTTTTCCCCGATGTGAGGCGGTCCAAAGCCCGGCCTGTGAGGCACAGAGCGGCCCTCACCGGGGAGCTCTTTCCTCAGAGGGCGGCTGGGTTTGGTGCTGGGCTCGCGGTCGGAAGGGCCAGTATCACTAGCAGACTCCCTCCCACCTTCACTCTCAGAGTCAGTGTCTGAGCCACGGCGCCGTCTGCGTTTTGGTATGACTTCAAAGTCAGAGCTCTCGCTGCGCGTCTCACTTTCCTCCCTGTTGCGATAAGCCGATGCGCCCCCAACAGACGGCAGATCGGAGCGCAGCCTGGGCTCTCGGTATGGGTACTCGGCACGGCTGCGACCGCGAGCGCCTCTGCCCCGCCCACTGTAAGTTCCTCGATAGCTTCTCCCTCTGGAGTAATACTCCCCCCGGCCGCGTCCTTTGAAATTGGAGTCAATAGGCCACTCTCTGTCCCTATCCTTGTCCATTTCCTTCTCCCTGTCCCTGTCCCGCTCCCGCTCCCTCTCCCTCTCCTCCCGTCTGTAAACCCGCGGGGGGAGATTGGAGTCTTTACGCAAGGGGAGTTTTGGCTCTGGATGCTTGTCATTGCTGGGTGGTTTGTCCGCTTTCTCTTCCTGGGAAGAAGAGATGGGTAACCCGGAGGGAGGCTGAGAATCTCCAGCCCTCGGGTGGGTGGCTGGCGTTTCCTCTGCCTCTGCAGGTTCTCTCTTACCCTCGGCCTGAGGTCTGGCTCCCTCAGACACAGCCGCTGCTGCAGAGGGAGCTTTGGAGGACTGATCCTTTTTGGGCCGGTCTCCTCTTTCGTGGCGTTTCTCTCGCTCCTCTCTTTGCTCCCTCTCTTCTTTCATGTCCCTAAGTACAGGTTTCTTTATTGGGCCTGACCTGCGAACCGGTCTCTCTCCCCCTGGTCCCTCCCTTCGGCCTGCCCCTGATCTCCCACCCCAACGAAGATCGACTTTCTGCTTGCTGGGGGCAGGCAGGGGCAGCTTCTCTTGTTTATGTAGTCCATCTGCGGGCGGTGTAGCCCTGTTATTGGTTACAGCAGCCTGGCAGTAGAGTTCACTCTGGGGCTTGTCATCGGCCCGCTCCCCCGTGTCCTGCAGCTCTAGCTGTTTTGTTGCTACAGGTAGTCCATCGAACCTCGCCTCATCCATCTTGAGGGAGTGACTGGAGCCCTGAGAGACACTTCTTTGGAGCATGGCTTGCCCAAGAGCTTCTACCTCCTCTCCACTTGGTAAGCCTGGCTCCTCAGGATCAAAGGCTGAGCTTACAGGAACCCTATCCAGAGACCCCGAAACATCCTCTGAACCCTGCGTGAACGCTGTCAATGTGTCAGTGGGCTCCCGGAAGAAGTTACTTTTACGTGAGTCCAACGCAGTGTGGTCCTGAGCGTAGATGGCAGGGAGACCCCGGTCCAGCTCCAAGCCAGAGTCCATCCTGAATAGAGACAATGGTTGTTTTGTAACAAAATCCAAAAGGAATTCAACCCATTGACGTTTTGTGCATTTCTTTTCTTTTTGTACAGCTTTTTTTAAATTATTTTTTTTACCTCTGTTCCTTGTTATCATCCCGTCCCTTTGGGGGAGTTACAGAAGGCAATGGCTCTTGTTGTGGGTATGGCTCTGATCCCCAAACCATTCGCGAGTCTGAGGGAACGCTATGCTCACGCATTGGTCGGGTCAAGTGATCAAATGAATCAGAGCTGGAGCTGGAGTTGTCCCCCGGCTCTCGGCGCACAATCTGCTTTGGAGGCATTCTCCCTGAGATGGTTTGGGAAGAAAACAAGCCACATCACAAAAAGGCGTTAGCATGCCATTCATCCCATAAATCCCCACTTTAATAATTTTAACTTAATGTTTATTCTTCAAAAACTATTCACCTGGGTGAATGTTTGCAGGCATGTCCATGGGGGGCCGGCCTGACATCATGCGGGGGTCCATATAGGACTGCATCATCAGCCAGCGGGGGTCGAACCCCATGGAGGCCAGGTGTTGGTGGTGAGGGCCAATGGGTTGATACATGGAGCGGTGCTGTTGCTGTTGGGCAGCTGGAACACTGCTGCCACCTGACGGGGAAACAGAACCCCCGGTTTGCTGCTGCTGCTGCCACTGTTGCTGCTTCATCTGCTCCTGTGAGGCCAGAGAAAAACCCAGACTGTAATAAGCCTGTAACATCCAACTGAAGGAACTCAGCTGGCCAGACGTGGTAAGACCTACCTGTTGTCTGAGGAAACGGGGTGGCAAAGACTTCTGAAACTGTTTGGAATAGCCTGAGATAAGAGAGGGGCGCATGGCAGCTGCAGCCTCTCCTTCCAGTTGTGGGGAGGCAATGGGAACTTTATCCCCACCAGGAGTTTCCATGTGTGGTAGAGGCAGATGAGAATCATCCACTGGAGGAAAACAGTGATTACATCTATGAGTAAGAGCCAGTCTGATGTCATCTTATTTTCAAGCTTTTAAAAAATAAATAAATTAAAAAAATTAAAAAAAGGGGGGGGTGGGGGGGAGGAAATACCTCTGTTCTCCTCCATGTTGAAATAGTCACGAACAGGGGCCGAGGATGTCCCATCAGTCTGGCTGTCCTCTGTCAGTGGACCGACCTCAGGTAAGTTGGTTTCTCTCTCAGTCTGTGGCTCTAGGGCTGCAGCTACGGCTCTCTGAGCGGGGGGGCTGGGCTGGCGAGGCAGCTGAGCCTCATCTGCGCTCGGTTCTTCTCTCTCTCGCTCTATCCTGTCGGCCCGCTCAGGCAGAGCGGCTTGGATGGTAGGGGGCTGCGACACTGGGGCTGGGGGGGCAGGGCTGGCAGCAGGAGCAGGGACGGAGACGGCCTCCTTCCCTGCGGCTCCCGTTTCATCAGTAGTGGTCGGGGCGGGTTTGACCTCGTCGGCCTGCCGGTGTTTCTCATTGAGACGCTTGAGTTTTTCAGCGCAAGCGGCGAGGCGTTGTTCCTCCATCCGTCGCTCCTCCTCTTCCCTCCTCCGTCTTGCCCGCTCGACAGCTTCAGAAACATCCGACTGCTTCTTCCGCTTCTGTCGCCAGGCCTCCGAGTCCTCATCAGTGCCGGCTGCGGCAGCAGCCGGTGGTTTGTTCCCACGTAAAGCGCCGCCGCCACCGGAACGACTTCCGCTCTGCAAATGACACAAATACAAATGACACCGTAACGTGATGCTAAAATAGTGAACGCCTAATGGCAAGTTTGGGTCATGAACGCGTTTTACCTGGTAGTCCTGTGCAGCCGATTTATTGTACTGCCCCACACCGCCAGGTGACGGCGTTCTGGGGTCCACAGTATCGGCCCACGAGGTTTTACCGACTCCCCGCTCCTCGGACCCCTCCTTCCAGCCTTCCTGATTATCCGTTGTCCGAGATCTCATGCGCTCAACTTTGCCCATCCACTCCCTGAAAAAAAAAAAATGCCACTGAATAAAGCCGAAATCATTCCTTCGATCATCAGTGGAAAATGTACCTCCAGAGTGCTCAAGAGCCATTTGTTTGCCATATTTACATCATTAACTGCACTGCATGGCAATTCTGAGACGCACATAACTGCAACAAAGCATGTATGTCTCACGATTCCATAATTTAGACAAAGATAGTTGACTTCTTATCCTAAGCACATTTGAGTCTCCAAAAGCAGAACACAAAAGTGATGCATAAACCTGACAAATATGCAAATGTTGAAAAGCGCTGGGGTGGTCCATGTTGACAGTTGCAGAAAAAAAGTTAGTGGAACAGACTATGACTATTAATGGTTCCAATGCTCACCAGTTTTCTCCTTTGTCTTTAGCAGCTTGGTTTTCCTCATCGTCACTAAAATTGAGTTTCTCTGTGTAATCCACCTCCATCTGAGCTCCTGGATAGCACAGCAGACATGATTAACAAAATGCTAAAAACCGAGTCCTGAAATTACCGTTAATCCCAGCCACGGTCATTCAATCGAATGTTATTGTTAATAGACCATCCAGAACGACTAACCCGCCCAGCCCTCATCAGCATCAGTGTCCAAGTTATCCAGTTCCTTTAGCTCCGTTGCGCTGACAATAGGTGGTCTGTCGGGATCTTGGAGCCAAGCCTGAGGGGGTGTAGGCTGGGGTCGTGGCGGACGAGGACCCCTGATCAGCCAATTGAGGAAAGATAAATGTTGAGATCCTTTGAAAAAAGCTTTAGCATTTATTGTGTTGTATGTATTCCAACTATAACTCCAGCATCTCAGGCTTCTGGATAATAAAAAAAAGTTAAATAATCTATCTTATTTATTCTTTTAAACAACTTACTTTGCCCCTTCTTGTGGTACCGGGTATCTGAAATTCGCTTGCCCTGGACCAAATGACCCTTGAGGATAGGCATGGAACATCTACAAGAAAAACAATCATGACAAAGGGTACCAAGACCGAAAAACCTGCGTTAAATATGCAAATCCAACTATGACATACATAAGGTGGCATCATGCTCCGGAAAGCAGGGTCAAAGTGAGATGGGACGCCTGCAGGAGGCTGTTGTCCCCCGTTAAGTTTGGGCTGAGTCGGGCCAGAGGGGGGCAACTTCTCCCTGCCGTCTCCCTGCCGCTTCTCCCTTTGACCCTCGGGGGCTACACTTCGGCTGAGTTCATCAGCTTCCCCAGGTGGAGTGGATGCATCAGGGGCCGCAGTGCCCTCCTCCTGAACCCTGTTGTCCATCTCAGAAGGGCTGGATGCAGTGTTCAAATTCCTACCTCCACCCTCACGCCAACTGCCAACATCTAACAGAACAGTAGGAGGACAAATATGAGCCCATAGGTTTGATTAGCCAGCAACAAGGCAGTACTTGAACAGTGAATTGCAATTGTGTGCAGAAAGCAGGAACTTTTTCTGGGGTTCTTTAGACTCATCTGGTCCATACACAACTTGTATTTATATGCATGAGTGTGGGCCTACTTTGAGGTCTGAGGCTTGGGCCTGGTCCGTAAGGCTCTTCTTCAGGACCATCTCCCTTCTCTGGCTCACCAGCAGCTTGCAAACTTGGAAACTCCTGATGAAAATGGCTGCTCACTCGAGGAGATCCTGCCCAACACAAACACAGTGTTCTAAATGTTAACTACGTGACTTACAATGGGGAATTAAAAGGTCTAATCCTCATTTTGTACACAGCAGTTCTTACAATCCAACGTTTGAGTTCGAATGGTTTGAATTCCGAGCAGGATACAATGACCAAGTGTTGTAAACAACCAGAAACTGTACACATATAATGAACATTGACAAGTCGATGAGCAGGTAACCTACAATAAAATGAACACCACAGCACAGAGGACAGCAAAGAGAAAATAAAAGAAGAAGACTTTTTTATAAAGTCCCGATTACAATTCAGTCATCTTGATTGAGGATTGTGTTAATTTCTTTCCACACAAGTCGAATACACAAGAAAGATAAGGACTGCAATGTGAGTGACATAATGTTCGATAAGGGCTAATTCCGTAAATCTAAAGCATTTTACCGTCTAGCTGTGTCTGCTTGCTGTTCGCCCAAGATCGACTTCCCCCCACAGAGAGCTCCTGTGTGTGGAGCACTGCTGGTTTGTTTTGGGGCGGGGGTGTCTCCTGTTGCCTGTGACACAAAACAGTTTCTTAGTTCCAAAGTTTTCCAATACTCCTTGACAAGCAGAAAACAGGTGCGTGATTTGAAGGTGTTCTATTGAATTAAATCACCTCTCGTCCCCTGCGTCTGCCCGGGAAGCCCAGCCACTACCGTCTTTGGGGACGATGTTGACGTTGGGGTCGTTTCCCTTGTTCTCCGCCTTCAGGCTGGGCAGGTTGGCCGGAGGGGGCATACGCCGACTGGCAGCAACTTTACCCAAACTCTGGAGCCCATGTCTGGCAGCCACTGGAATGATTAAACATTTTAAATGAGTGTGAGACGACAAATTAAACAACTCGTTCCTCCCTTAAACAGAACCATTATTGAAATGGGAGCAAGAAAGCCAATCAATAACTGCAACTAATGCAGAATTAGTTTACATTTAACTGATTACCGGTCTGTCAGCACAAATAAATGTCCTCTTTTTAGTTTTCCCCCTGTGTTATCTGGGATGAAATCAGGATATTCATATTTGACTGCTAATTTTGCATTAAAACATACAAAACAAAATAATAAAGACTTGTATCAAGCTCTTACCAGCAGTTTTCTGGGTTTCCAGAGATTTTCCTTTGTAGGTATTGAAGAGGCTAAGGGTTGCATACTTTGTTTTGCCATCCTTTGCCTTGGTGCTCTGCCCTGACTTCTCTGACATTTCGCTGGAAACTCATTGAGTCTGGTCCTTTGGCCTCGCCCCCAGAACCAGCCTCCTACAGACCAAAAAGTGAATGGGAAAGAAAAACCATTTAAAACTAGTTTGGGGGGAAAAAACCCAAACATAACTGTTTGTGTGCCGTGATTCGTTCACAGCTTATCCAGTTGAAAAGATCACTGCAAATTTTAACAGCACCAAACTTGCCCAACTGAGACAAAATATAACCGGACACTTAAAAGAGATCAACATGCTGAAATTGACACGGTTTGGCAACACGGCACTGAACAACTGAATCAAGATGGAGAAGTGGCAAGAAGCATAAAGGCCAAGAGCTGAATTACAGTGAACATTATCCAGGACTGGACAGCACACATGGGCTGCAGTGTCTTTCCCAAGTCACCCACAGGTCATTTATTATTAACAGTGGATTGGTGTAATGGTGCCTGTGAGTGTTATATTTTGTGGGTGTCAGTGCAAGTACGTGTTGAAGCGGCTGACAGCTTTAAGGAGTTCATTCTGTCTGCCACTTGGCCCTGGACACTACTTAATGGCTACAGTGTCTTTTTCCTATAAAGAGGAAGTTGTTTTATTATTATTTTTAACTGTATAATTGAATACATATAAATTCCTGAGAATAAAAAATAAACTGTTACATTTTTTTTAGATGGCACAATAATAGCATGTAAATATGGAAGATAATTGCTTTTCAATTATATCTAGTGATGTCGCTTTAAATTTGCCTGAGGAAATGATAAGATAAACACCTTCTATTTGAACTTGAATCATTCAGTGCGTGAACCTAATGTTAAATATGAATTAAAAACATTGCTATGACAACAAGTATGAAACAAGGGGAGATCACTGAAGACGTCTAGGCAATTTGACATGCTTTTTACTAAATTCAACTCTACTGTTTACAGTAGCGTATCACAGCAGGGGGATTTCTGCTGGAGACGAGTTTCTCCACATGGACAATGAAAAGGAACAAGTTTCTCTAGTGTGCCGGAGGCGGCATTTCATGCTGAAATTAGGGCTTTTGTGTTGTCTGCACCACACACTGAGGGTAGCAGATGAGCCTCCTTACTGTCGGTTTGACTACTGCACGTATCCGTGACTCCACAATGGTAAAGAGAGACGTAGCATAAAGGTCAGGAAAAACATCACCAGCACACAGAATCTCTCTTTTATGCTGATTCATGAGGCAGATGTTTTGGACATTTGAGTTCTGGTGTGCTAAAGCCCTGGAAAGGACAATTCAGAGGTCCGACACCTGTGTAATGCACCTCAGGAGGCTCCCGCAGATTGTCTCTGGAGAATATTCCCCTTTCTAAAAGAGCTTATTTTTATCTGGACTACACATAAATCTGGTTTGAGCAATTTTCCAGACACTGTGTGATGCTTTGGAGAAGTGTGTAAAAAACTAAGCACAGCCCAATACAAAAAACACCTCTATCAGTTATTACATCCTTTTATTTCACTGAGGTTTGCGGGCATTTCTTTGTCCACAACTCTTTGGTAAGCAGAGTTTACACAGCTGATGGTCTGATCAAATAAATGAAAAGTGACCAGGCAGTAAAGCAAGCCTAAAATGCCTGGAAAGGGCCTTATAACTCTTCTAAAATCAATGGACAGCATGAAGTGCTTCTTTAAACTTAAAACCATGAGTCAGCACTCCAATCCTCAGTTACTCTTCAATGGCTCTTTTTCAAGTTTACCCTTTTTCTGTTGCGCAGCAGATAATCTCATAAATATTTTTAAGTTTGTGTTATTTCCTGAGGGAATTATTTTCTCAACAGGTGGCTAATGGCTGATTCACTTCTTGCTATGCTACCATGGATAAATGCAAGGATAGAAACGAATAATAGGAAAATACGCACTGCAATATACTGGAACAACTAATCAACATTTCTGAGTGTCCAGGGTAAAAAGCCTGTTGGCTGATCTGCAAGTAATGGTCCATCAGATGGCCACTCAACACTCAAGCCCAGCTGGAGAGAAACTGATAACTTCTCCAAATCAGCAAAAACAACAAATGCCATTCCGGACACACAACATGAATTAGGACTTTTGTCCCTTTTTGGATCAAAATACTGCGAGCAGGTTTTCTCAAGCACAGACTGCATAAAATCCTAGCGTCACTCCTGCCTACCAGATGATAGGCTGCCATCATTTCTACAGATCAAAGTCACTTCCCATAAAGAAGGTCTCCGATTGTGCAAAAATCCCTTTAAATGGGTGAAAATACTTTCATTTAGCCAGCTATTGTTTTTCCAATACATTTTACACAACAAGCTGAAATGGTGTTCCAGTGTCATGGTCATATGACTGAAGGGGGCAAAAGGGGGGATGGGGTAACATCACACTCAGTAGTAATTGTAGTTAGGGTTTAACTTATTTCAAGGTGGGGTATATGGCATTTAATACATTATGAAGGAGAAGTGCGGGTTGACTCGGATGACTTACGGCTCTACCCATGCAACACAGTTCTTTGTTCACAGTAAGACGAGGAACTGTCTGTCAATGACTGTCTAATGTATTAGTGAATATGACGGGTCATCAAGGTGGCCTAAAGAGGTGCAGTGGCAACAAGCTTATTTTGTCTTATCCCCAAAGTTTGTATGTTAATGTTAAAAGATTGTCAACCTAACAAGCCTGGGGTTTTACCAAGCAGATAAAAAATAAAAAAAAAACATGCCTGTTTTCATGGACCAAGAATTGACCATTACATTAGTATGTATACAAATCAATCAGCTGTATCAAACGCATTCATTACCGTTTAGCAATTTTATAACAAGTTTACATGCACTGTCTGGATGTAGACAGGATGACACTTAATATCAGGGTTCAACGACCATCAGTATCAGTTTGAGCTTATCCCATTTGAGCTGCTATAGCTTCATTAACTTTAAAGAAAAGTGCAAGATGGTCATTCTTAAGATTTAACATACTAACGAGGTGATTTGGTATTGTAGATGTCAGTTAAAAAGTTTAAAATGTACACAATTGAATTTTGTATGGACTAAAAACAATGCGGTGCTTAGTATCATTTCAGCAATCTTCCAATGACATTTCCCTGTTTTTCGGTAGATCTATGGTGATGCTGTTAGCTGACGGGGTCGATCAATGAGCACCATGCCAGTCAATGACTGAACGGGCTCCTTCAGATGAACCACAGTCGGTATAGGATGTGCTGAAATACGCGGCTGACTCATTTTGTCCAGAGAGGTTTCCATGTTTGAACTGTGTTCGGGCATCACATGGAGTCAATCACAATCCATCTTACGGCCACGCTCTCTAACACGTACGCACCACCAACGTCCATTCAGAACTTTTTCTTTGCCTGAACGCAGAGGAGAATCTCCAGCGATTTCTTACTAAATGCGTTTGGTCTATAAATCACAGCCACTGATTAAATCTACAGGCCATCTTCCTCCAAGAATCAAACTGCTGATAGGGTGGGTGGCTCACACCGGCAGGGGAGCAGAGGCCCTCGTCGTCCAGAACTCCACCAAACGTGGCTCCAGGAACAATTACTCCTCACAAGGGTCATACGCCAGAAAGTGGCTTTCATTGTGTACCCAGCCTCAAACGTGTTGTGATAAACGTGGTCCTGCCGAAAAGCAGGCCGCCAGCTTGCATGGTTTCGTTTCTCAGTAGTCGCCATCACATCCACTTCCAGCCCGTCTGTGGTCACAGTTTGCTAACCAGCTAGCATTGTGTGACCATCTCTCTGTAGGTTACTGCGCAAATTTGCCACACACATTAAATAAAGACCCACCTGCCACCGCCGGTGCCTCCCTTGTCCTTTGCAGTGTTGTGTGGCTTCACTTGAAATCCGGTTTCGACCTGGTCGGAGTTGGTAAATGTGTGTCTGGCCGGCGGATTACAAAAGCTGGCTAACCCACTTCGGCTAACGATAGATAGCTTGGCTCGTTGACTGCCGACAGACCGCTATCCACACATAAAGGTGTGGAAATAGTTTCTTTTGCGCCCTTTTAACCGGCCGGTCTGTCCTCGTCAATGCAGCTTTTGACGTGGGAACCGGTACTTTGTTGGCCCGTTGTTCCTTATCTTTCCCCACCCGCTATCTCGTGCCAGACCGTTTTCTACTTGTGTGAGGCCCCGCTCGCGCCGCGGCCTGTCGCACAATCAAAGATGGCAGACAAGTTGCCAGATTTATCTTCTCATATCCCCCTCTCCTAGCTTCTGAAATCTGCGCGGGTGCTCGAACGTTTTTCATCGTCTACGTCTTATCGGGGATGTTATCTGGCTATGGATTCAAACTTCAATTTTAAAGATCGAAATGTGGAAAGATAAGAATTAGAATTTTAGCTCTAGAAATTATTCTAGAATCATGGACTGATATAAACTGTTTTACCTCGGATGTAATTAGAATTACCTATTAAATGAAACATCACAAATATAAGAACGAAGTTAAGGTACAGACTGAATCTTCAGAAAAATGTAATGTATGCTTATTGTTTGCTGGAACATTAATTTAAAGACACACTAGGTTGTTCAAATCTAACCTATCCAGATTATTTATCTGTAAAAGCAGCAGTGTAATAAAATGTAGCAGTGTCTATTCTGAGGAGACAAACATCAGTATTTGAACGATGAAAAATCAAATGTTCAAAATGGTCGGGAGCAATATTTGACAGTTACACTTTGTTTAGTCTTCAATGTTTTATTAGAATAGAGCATGTTTCGAAATTTCATTCTGTACAAATAACAGTGATTGACTTGATATAACTGAAACTCTATTTTAGAACAAGATTTAAATTCTTCATACAGAGTTCAATGTTCTGGTTAGGAAGACACGGTTTAACATTTTTGTAAGGTATGCCTCTGATCTAAATGACAAATCCTGTAAATGATACAATCATGGATATCATCACTGCACTGAGAGCATACTATAAAATTGCAATGATGTGCAACGGCGCAAAAACAAACCACACATGTTGAATTTGAAACATGTGAATCAATCGATAACTTCATTATTCTCTCCCTGGTATCTAAAACCTGGCAACCCGAACACTAACGAGTCACGCGTGGATGTATCTTGTTCCGGGGTATACCGGTAGTACATGAATCGCGGATAGTTTGAAGTTCTCAGCCAGCTATCTATCTATCTATCTATCTATCTATCTATCTATCTATCTATCTA